GAATCAAAACTAAAATATTATTTGATATCTATTTCCAAAATGCACATTTTGTATTAACAAATTATTTTTCATCAAAACAAATACTTTTATCGCTTTTGATATTTAAAGACGATAAACTTTGCCTTTTACACTATGTCATTTCGACAAATATTTAAAAAGTTAAAACGATGACAAAGTGATAGCGCGGTAATACTGAGAGACGGAGTAAACTGCGGGAGGAATACTAAGAGAAGAAATTTAATTTAGGTGTTTAAAAACGTGGATAAAACCTAGGCGAATAAGATAAAAATTGGGCTACTCGCAGTATCTGATCCTATACGAAGTACTTACCTTACAATAAAACTGTGATACAGTTCCTTCTTATTAAATGATGAAAAATAAATTATCATAATAGCTATTTATTATTATTGAATTTCAATGAAAAACTCAGGATTATCCTGTTTTTTTAAAGATATTACTTAATGTTACAAAAAAGGTTTACTTAATATAATGACAAATAACCCATTTTTCGCTAGTAGGTACATACTTATTGGAATCCCTGTATTTATTAATCAGCTCGCGATTATATTGGTTTTGTAATTATAAACGATAATTCTGCAAAATTCAAAGTAAATAATATAGATTTTTATAGGTAATTCACCCCTTTCATCACCCAACGCCTATAAGTATTGCGATGTTGTAGCTAAGAACCAAGTTCCCATCTACTTCTATAGGGGAATTCATTATAATCGATTTAGCTATTAGGGCACGGAAGCGCAACAAACAAACTCACTTTCGCATCTATAATATTATACTTACTAGTGATCCACCCGGGCATTGTACGGGCGAAATTTATTTTATCGGGATAAAATATAGCCTATGTTACTCGGACAAAATGTATTTAAATAAAGAAGATGTAATAATAAATAATGCAGCTACCATATTGGTTCAGTAGTTGACAGACTATTTGTTACAAACATAAAAATCTTGCCTCTTTATAATATGTATTAGTATAGATAGTTAGGATAACAGTATTTAATTGATGAAAAAGATTTAAAAAAAAAGTAACTAATAGGTTTATTTGATTATATTTATAAAAGTTATTTAGCATTTGTGCTTATCAGTGATACGTTATTCGGTATTTTATTTATACAAAAAAAAAATTTGGAAAATAATTGCCATGATTGCACTATTTGCAATACATACTAGGCTGGTAGCAGCACGCTTGATAGGTGGAAATATACTCTTCATTCGAGCTTTACACTATAAATTGATAATAAATGAGATTGCTATGGTGCTCTACCTAACTTTATGAAAAAAATATTATGCGATTTTAGTTTAATCAAATATTATATCCTTTGCTTTGGTGATTGCATAATTATTTAATTTAGCGATCTAAAGCAGTTGCTACCATTGTTCAAAACAACAGACGGGAATTACTGCTTTCTTCAACCTGCGACATAAACGTCATTGATTGGTATTGTATATAGGGTGATTAACAACATTTGAAGTTAACTTCTGGCATCTACATATTGGGTTTCTGTGAATTATGTAAGCTATATCAAATTATGGGACTAGGATATGACATTGCATTTGTGTATATCACAATCTTAGAGCCGGACGTTGACATGACAATGCAGCCACTGCCAATTTTAAATAGCCGACGAATGATTTTTATATATACTGCTAAACTACTAAAAAGAACATAAACAAAAGATGACTTTTTGAATAAGTGCCAGTTTACTATAAAATTTACATACATTAGATATATAGGTAAAGACTTGATTTAACTTACTACTTTAACTGTAAACTTAACAAATTTTTGCAAAAATTGAGGACCATCTGTAGCCTTTACCCCGCTGGTATATGTCTTAATAAATCAATCTTTTAGACCAGCGCAAGATACTTAATAATTCCCGCGATATTAATTCCCTTACTGAAGTAACAAGACTACGGTATATACCGTCTTAAAATACTATCCAACTAAAAAGTGTTAAATAAAAAAGGTAAATTTAAAAAATCAAAAAACCCGACTGCTTAATTATACTTCAAATAAAAACTGAAAAGAAAAAAAGAAAAAAACAAGTCCAGTAGTCTATAATTCTGTTAATAAGGAACAAAGCTACTTTAACAGTCGGGACCCATTATTGAAAAATATTATGTATTCTTGAATATCTAATGGGTCCCGACTGTTAAAGTAGCTTTGTTCCTTATTAACAGAATTATAGACTACTGGACTTGTTTTTTTCTTTTCAGTTTTTATTTGAAGTATAATTAAGCAGTCGGGTTTTTTGAATTTTTAAATTTACCTTTTTTTTCAAATGCTTATTTCTCAAATGTCTCTCAGCTTGCGTTCGCTCTTAATGTTCCCACTGCAGAAGCAAAGTCGTTCCGTACGGATTATGTAGGGAAAAAGGGCCATTGCCCACCAAGTGCGACCAACGGCTTAACGTGGCTTCCGAAGCTTTCGAGAAGAAAAGTTCTTGGTCACCCATCCTATGACCGGCCCTTGCTAAAGTTGCTGATCACAGATTAGGGATAAAATTGGATGAGATATCTGTCAGGCCGGTGATGTCACATACAAGGGTATTGTTAGAGTTTTTAAACCACTATAAGATTACAACATATAAGATAAAAAACATTGTCCGCCTCCCCTCTTAATAGGCTGACAATGATGAGCTTATGAATTAAGAAGCTTGTACAACTTACATTCTTGATTTTAACGTTTAAGACGATGAATTTCCAAAATAAAAATAGGTACATTAAACTTTTATTTAATTCATAATCACAGTTAGACCTAAAAATGTCCATTGTGAAAAATTATCGAAGTGTTGGAAACATGTACTTTTCTGGGGCTGGTATGTTCTTATGAATAAAAGCACCTAAATAAAAAAGGTAAAAAAAATATCTATTTCCCAAACAATCGTATCAACATCGATGTAACCGAGCGATATCGAAAATATCGATGTTTGTTTGAAAACAAAATGTAAATGTACATCCCTATTGCAGCTGCAGCAGCAATTTGCTAAGCTCTTGGCATTGAACTCCTCTAAATCTGAGTTGAGGGATGAGTTTCCAATCAATTGATTTTTTTTTCCAAAGAACCTAGATTATGAAATCGGCGCCCATATAAAATTAATCAAAATTGGTTTTGCAACAGATCATTAACCTACCAAACTATAAATAAAACACCGATTAAAACACTGTGATAAGATAATCACTATTTGATGTTTTGTTGAATAAACATAATTAAATTTAATTGTATTTTAAACAATGTACCTACCTATATAAACGTTAAGCCTCTGATGGTAGTACTGTTCCCTTAGTACGAGTTTGAGCTCACGAAAACTATCATAGTTTTCGTAATTGTAAATTATGTTTCTATGTCCTATTTGGTAAAAAGTAACCAAATATACTTAAATTTTAAGAAGACGCAATTGATTTAATGATAGAATTTAAACACTGTTTATTTGTATTGAAACGAAAACAAAAAAAAAACATTACCCTTAGTACGAGTGCGAGCTCACGAAAACTATCACAGTTTTCGTAATTGTAAAACTCGTACTAAGGGTACTGGTCGTACTACGAAGTGGCCGATGCAATAAACTCACATAAGTACTGAATATTAGCTTTACTTGTCATGACTCCAAAAGAGATTAGGAAAAATTACGTAGGAATATCTTTACTTTGCTGTACCTACCTAAGTATATACTTAGGTAGGTATATATAGGTACTGAATTACTAAGTATATGAAAATTTGTTTCAAGAAGCTTTTTGACTGGAAACGTGGCACAAGTGAAATTATGCACATTAAAGTTGCGAACTTCAGTCAAAGTTAAATCATGTTTTAAATCGGCAAAGAGCTCTCTTACTCAATAACCATAAATAAATAGAACTAATGCATGAAACTAATGTCAAATTGCATATATTATTATTGTATAAATTTAACATTCGTGCCTATTTATTTAAGAAACTTACTTTAAATTTTAAATCGGCAAAGAGCTCTCTTACACAATAACCGTAAATAAATGGGAACTATTGCATGAAACTAATGTAAAATTTCATATATAATTACTGTATCAATTTATCGTTTGCGCATATATAATTAAGAAACTTACTTATTTAAAAAAAAGCGCAATATACGGACGATTTTCGAAAAGTAGAAGGTCGATTTTGGAATTCAACACAATGTTGTCACATCCCACACATGAATAAAGGCACATCCAAATAACCTAATCAATTTACCAACTTAAAACTAATCTTAAAAATTCACACTCATCTGCTGCAGTCTGAGTTAAATTCATATAGTTATTCATTATTTTAAATAAGTATATTTATTTTGATTTTTATTTGTTTATGTTTAATTTTAGGTCGCCTTTTGTCTTCGATCAACAGTTTGATCAATGACGTTTATTTTGATTGTTGTCTCCCAAGGGTTGACTGGTAGGGTACAACTAGCTATAAAGTTCACCTTTTGTAACATTTTTGATTTTTGACGAAATAAATTATAATCACAACAGCATATTTTACGGGATAAGATTGCTAATAATTTTATGAGGCGGGAAACGGGTGCAGGTCTCAATGAATGAAAGTTGTTTGTATCCTCATAATTTCACTATAACAACAAATTGAAATGACTGTTAGAGGTCATTCGTATTCAAATATTAAAAATGTCACATCTCTGTAAATAAAGTTTATGATGGAAAACCAAAAACAATAGCTAAGTAGATATTTGCATAATATATTTATCAATAAATTGCTATCTCCGAAATATTGTTTGCATTGTAAAGTACATATAATAAACAGTTTACAACTACCTAAAATCATTATAAAATACCTACAAACAAAAGAAGTAACGTCAAACGTATTGTCGATAATATTATGCTGATTTGATATCGTAAATATGCTTTTATTTGTTTATAATCAATAAAGATCTATTGGAGAAATTCAGTTTTATTTCACTTTAACCTATTATTTAAATCATTTAAGTAATAACACAATAAAAACAAATATGCACTTACTTTTCATCTGCCATTTTCAATAAAATTTATTTCAATAATAATTGTAACACAATATCACAGTTAATATATTAGGGTAGGTGCTTAAAACTATTATCACATATTTTTCATATAGAAAATAAATAGGGTACACTTTTCAAATATCAAAAAAGTAAGTTAATAAAATTGTACTATTACGAAGTTCGCGTCATTATCACGGACTTTTCATTGTGATATGCGTACGAACGCGTCTTTATTTCGCGATGTACAAACGTTTACTGACTTATGCACGTCGTCCGTCTACGCGTGATAAACTCTTCACGCGATAGGTAAAGAAATGACTACAATTCTAAATAGGTGTGCACTATGCTTTTCTGTTTTCTTGTCAGGCGATATACGTAGAGTAGTGATAATTTTATGCACATACAAAGTACACTCACTAATCGAGATAATTAATGGCTCTGGGGAAAATTTTACAAAACATTTGCATGCGTACATTGTGTACTTATTGTGTTTTTCAATATTCATGCAATTTTCATCGGTCTGTATCGTAGCAGAGTTGCCTATTGTCGCACGGTCAATGTATGTCCGAAACAAATGCCCTTTGTTTTCATGTTCATTGTAAAATAATTTAATCATAATAATCCACTAAATACTTGGGGACTTACCACGGGGAGCAAAAGAAGATAGATCATTCTGTTCTCCAGTACCTACATACTTACACTAAGAAATGCACACAAGTATTTATTTTGTAATTATTTTTGACCTGTAACGTGGCTATGTTTGAGGAACAAGTGAAATTATGCACATGAAAAACGTATGACAAAATAAAAACATTTTATAAATCAGCATAAAGTTCCCGGACGCACTAAAAAAAACTTGAAATATAAAAATCAAATTAAAAAAAAAAATGGTTGCCTGTAAAGTCGGTTTTACGGGCGAAGATTTTACGTGACAACGTCTTTTTCTCGGTAGAATATTTATTGATATGAATATAATTAAATTGCACAATAGGAACAAGGAATTGAATGAAAATAAGAATTGCACAAATTTTAACTATAGAAATATATTTTGTTTACTAAAACATTGTACATGTAAACTTAAACTTAACACGAGAGACTCATCGTAACGTTACCGAGCGTTACACTTTTTCATAAGTGACTCCCAGCCGCAACCTAATTTAAGACGTTGTCACGTCAATAATTATTAGCTGAATCGTTTCAAAACTTTTTACGAGTTTTTATAAGTGGAAAGGACGAAAATGAATAAAAATTTGCATTGAAAATCGATATTTCTAATTAGAAAATTTGCGAAACCAACAAGTAGATAGTTTTGTCGGTTTGTAAAGTTTTTACATCTTAACCAATATTGATAAATTTTGGAAAAGATATAAATAAAAGAAATAAAGGGGAGCTTCCAGTATAATATATTTAAGTACATTTTGCCCTAGATAGTAAAAGTTTGTATGGGAAAACAATAGATTAGGGGAAAAGTATTTTCAAATTATAGTATGTATGAACTTGTAATAAAATCTCTTTGGCTACACTATTTGTATCTGGCTGATTTTGGTATAATTAAAAAGTATAAATTTTAAGGAAGATAATTCCAAATTCAAATTAGAAAAATGTGTGATTTTCATTTGTTTTTCTTAATGTCATCATCATATACAAATAGGTATTAAGTTAAAATATGCTGTCTATAAAATCAGTTGACAAGACAACACACATTAATTTTTTAAACAGACAGCACTGCGCTGTGATAAAAATTTACTATAAATATGTATGACGCTGATTGCTGAATCAAAATCTTTTGGCTTTGTGATAAAAGTCAAAATTGTGACTTCTTTATGAATTTTAAGTTAAATTGTGAATGACAAAGCAAAAGATATCTCCTTGATTAAAATGCGTCTGGATGAAAAAACTTTGGGTGATATAAAAAAATACAATATTTATTTATTAGCACTATCACAGTCAAGCTGCCGTATCGTCGTGATTTAATTATCATTTATATTAACGCCCACAATTATATTACTAGTCTGGCGGTCGCGAATCAAGTTAGCGACTATCGATCAACACGTGATGTTCCTACATGTGATATGATAATAATGGTGCATTTACACAGGATAGATACATTTAAAGAACAAAAAAATGGAACAATCCTTGAATCTCTTTTGTCCTTCCGTCAAATCCCTTCCATTTCGTAAAACTTTTTTCCAGGGCACGTAGCGGTATCAAGCTGAAATTAATTACAAATACTAGATACTAGGAGGAGCTCGATGGCGCAGGTGGTTAGCGCGTTCGGTTGCGATCGTTGAAGTTAAGCAACTTTCGCAGTGGTCGATCTTTGGATGGGTGACCAAAAATCTTCTATCTCGAGTTCCTCCGTGCTTCGGAAGGCACGTTAAGCCGTTAGCACCCGCCAATCCGCACTGGACCCGCGTGGTGGGTCGTGGCCCAATCTCCCTATTCCATCCATAAGGAAACCCCAGCAGTGGGGACATTAATAGGCTGATGATGATGACTAGATACTACAATCCCTTAGAGCAGTGAAATTATACAACTTAAAAAAAAACTCATTTCACGCCGGGTTAGCGAGTTCAATTCTTACTTGATCGGCTTTTTCTCTTTTAGCTCTTGTACTAAAGACCTTTGTTAACGTAAAAACACTTAAATGCGAGTATGACATCTATAACAGGTAGAAAAATGCACGTAGGTATTCATTACACTAACTTGTGCCCTCTCCGGGATTCGAAGCCGGCGCGTTGGATACGCTGTTAGCATCACTATGGACCATTTGATCCATAATGTGTATGGTGTCGATTCTGCCATGATTCTCTAAGCCTTAACTCAAAATTGACAACGGTATCCTTGTCATTCTCAAAACAGAATGAAAAGGAGAGACTGATGTTAAATTAAATTTGTAGTTTAAATAATTAATTAATTTCAAGTCTGTGTAAACTTAACTGGTTAACTGAAAAGTAATAAGAGTAACTTAATTGAATTGTGTAAAACTGTATGTTTCCCAAATGAAAATAAATAAATAATCATGACAGAATCGTCACCAACGCCCGTGTAGAAGCTCCATAATGGCGAATCAAATAATAATAAAGATATCATGACTGCCTTGTTACTACCATCCTGTGACAAATACGTGTTTACATCAAATATTTGCTATACAATTACTTAGTAAAAAAAACATAGGTACGTAACGTTTCGACGTATCAAAACATCCAAAGTAAACAAACAACCCATGTTGCATGTAAATATGTTTTCCGTTTGTATAGTGAAAAGTTCGTAATCACCCATACTATTCATACGGCATAATAGCCTCCGTGGTCGACTGGTTTGTACACCGGCAAGTAAGCAGGCTGCCACCCGGCAATCCCGGGTTTGATCTCTGGCCGAGACAATCGCAACTGCAGTCGTTAGCATTTAAAAGAGATAGGGTCCAGTGGTATTTTCGCTCGAAATGTTGCACCAATCTAGGAAAGTAATGTACACCCAAATAAAGTATTGCCTTTACATTATAGGAAAACCACTTACATTTCTTCGAGATACATCGAATCTTTGGTACTGGCCACATACATGCGAGCCTCAATCGGCAAAAGTTGTATGAAAATCCATATCTGTCGTGTTATTTGAAAATGGAACGATCATTTACTCCTAAAAATGCCAACCAAGGAGGTTACTTATCAAAGGGTTAATTTAAATTTCAAACTTACTTGTGAATAGGAAGCGTTTATTGAAATAAAAAAATAATAATAATGAATAAGTGCTGCATTGTTCGATATTGATTTTGAAGAAAGTTCTGTCTAGGTAGGTACTACAGTCTGTGCGGAAAGAGAATGGGATTTAGATTGGAGGGCGCTGTAGTGCTTTTCTACCGTATTTGTAAGGTTTTACCCCTTTTAGACATGATTAAATACAAAAACACGCAAGAAATCACAACAACAAACAAATCCGTGTCAATATAAAACTTTGACGTTTTACAGATTGCTGGGTTTGATTGCCAAATAAAAATCTTAATGTTAGTTCCGTTTTTCGCCACGCCCATTCTCTTTTCGCACAGACTCTACTTAATTTTAATTTCCGCGCAGTATTTGAGAAAAGAACTATACAAGCCTTGGCCACAACTGGGCATTGATGGACATAACATTTACACGTTCGTCCACCAATGCCTCTTTTGCTGGCCGCTGCAGTAATGTACTAATAACACTTTCTTTTGAAGGTGTTGTGTTTCTGTGGGCAATCATCGTTGGTGAGGCTCCAAAGCTACACAAGATAGGGTTGAAGCCGGCAAGATGAGGGCAAGATAACCGGTACGGCAGAAAAGTATAAATCAAACCATCCCATCTGATATCACATTTTGTCAGCTGTGATCATAGACTAAACCAAAAAGGGAAGATACGGCACTCCATGCTCAAAAGTGGTCCGCTTAAATTGTGGTGAATGACCATAATTCGCTTTAGTCACAATTGGACATTCAAACACGCTGCATGTGCACTCAATATAACAATATTGCGTATATTCTGTGTTATGAAGTTGAAACAATGCCTTCGATGCTTTTATAAAGAATACAAATAGTTGAAAATCAAATAACAAATGCCTCGGCAACACTTTTCATTCGTAAAACTGTAAAATCATTTTTTTCTTAAAAATAACGGTTTGTAGTGAATGTTATTTACGTGATCACCATTTTGTTATCAAGAAAAGTACAACAATACGCTGCGTTAAAGCGTATAGTTCTGTCACGCTCGCTCGATTGAATGTTTATATACAGACGTGTGCGTGTGTAAGAGTTGCTTATGTAGTTGAGTCGGATGATATTTTATTTGATGCCAGAGCGTACCGTATCTACCCTTTTTGTTTTAATCTAAGGATGTGATGGTTAGATTTGCTGGGTCATTTATAAAGCACCCCACCAATTCTATACACTCATATTTTAACAGTCCACGTAGGAAATTAAACATTTAAAGTACTTTCCTTAAATAAATGATTGGTCTTCCCCAAACATTTTTAAGAGGTACTTTCTTTATGTACTGTTAGTAAATAAGGGTCGTTACAGATAACAATTTTAAATTGCTTTTTTTATCTGGAGTGTGCTTATAATTATGTGGTAGTTTGTTTGTTCGTTTGTTAATTTTTAGATTGGGAACGAAAATTATTACCAAGTGTTTTTTGTAAAATATTAATGAAATCTTTTTTTTAACTGCTATGTATGTACGTTTGTTCGGTTGGAATCTTGCAACTCAATTTTGAAGCAGTTGTTTTCATTCGATTGAGCTGAAATTTTGTACACACGTTTAGTTTGGATTATAATGCATGG